AAAAACAAGGCTATGAGGCATGCCTTTCGATAGGTTGTACTCTCTTATAATCTATAGATCAAGTCTAATTTTCACAGCTGTTTTCAAGAGTTTTTTTTCTGTCACCTTTTCACCTCTGTCACCTCAATAGTTTCTGATTTTTCAAATACACTTTTTTAGTGTTTTTGGCAACCTGAACGATCAAAAGTAATATTATAGCTAAACGTTACTGAACGTGCGCCTCCTAACAGCCTTATTTTCATTCGCGATGATATATATATATATATATCATGCTCTATATATCATGCTGCTCTATATATATAACCTATGTCGTCTAACTAATTTATAGTGTAGTTAAAGTATGTAATTAATAATAATTTAACCAAAACACGCTTCAAAGCCAAATTACAACCTAACACTGGTCTTCAAGTTACCGGACAAATGTTTCTCCATTTGGTGATTTGTGAGGCTGCAGAGACGTGTTGCGCAAAAGCTGTCTGAACAGAACAGGTGTTTTGTCTGACGCAAATCAAAACGCTTTGTTTTGCAGACTTATGTTTGCTCCGGCGTTATGTTTAATGCAGAGTTAATATCAATTTAATGCTTGTCAATGCTTTTCTGTATTTTGGGTCTTGGTTAATCTCCTCAGTGTTCTGCCGTCCTCGGATCTACAGAAACAGATGCTGGGTCTGTCTAAAAGGGGTTTGCATGAAGGGCGGCTTAAGGTGTTAAAACCAGACTCAAATGCAGTGTTAAAATGTTACTTAAAAATATTAATTCAATTTAAAAAATCTAATCATAATTTGCATTGGGTTATTATTACTCTGTAAAAAGTTCCATAAATAATGAAATGAGCAAAAGAAAAAAAGTGACAAAACAGGCATTATGAGATTTTAGTGGCTTAATATTTTTCTGTTCCTAACTGGTCTACATGTCATTTAATTAAATAGTATTATTATAGCCTACCAACATATTTGAACTATTATACTTTTTTTTATCTTCCCCCATACATTATAATGAGTACTTTCTATAAACAAAAACATAAATTTCAATAATATTATAAAAGTACTGAGTTTTTCGTTTTCTGTTAAAATTACTGTTTTTAAAGTGCTTTAATCATTGCATTGCCATTTCACTTAAGTTGCTTATAGAGACCAAAACTACAGAATGCGGATAATAAAATGATGCCAAATCATTATCGGTTTATGCCGTTGAGCTCACCAAGGAGGTTGGCCTCAGCACAGCCTGTAATGCAAAAGCGCGGACGTTAATGTGTGTCCGGAGGAGGGAAGGCACATTTATGTGGATATAATATCTTAGAAATGTGTCTTTAATGGGTTTAATTCAGCGCCCGACCAGCTGCACTCACTCTAATTGGTAAAGAGAAAACAATCATGCCATGGCTTGAAAAGCAAGCAGAAATTAGTTTCGGTCACCGAGGCTAAGCTATATTTCCTGCAAACCATCTGCTTGATAGGTACAATAGAGGGATTTTCAAGTGCAAGAGAAAGAATAAAGTGCTTTGAACGTGCAGAAGTCCTTTTGGGTTTTCTGAAGGTGATGAGGTGTCTTAATACGACTGCCCCGGGCGGTGCTAAAAACAACTGATGAAAATCTAACGGTCGTATTATTTGGTAAAACTGGAATAATTACATGCTAATCACTTATGGGTCTGTTATTGGCGTGTTGATAGATTTTAATACTTGTTTAAGCTGCAGCAAAAGCTGTCAACAAAAATGTTGCATTCAATGAAGAAATTATCACTAATGTGATTCAAGATAGATTGATTAGTAGATTGATAATAAAGCTACAACTACTATTTTAAGTTCTGGTTATGTTGGCCAAAGTAAAAAAGCTAGGGATAGCTACTGGGCCGTAATGAGGGAATTACAGCTGTCCCAAAATTACTTGCGCGATGCCCCCAACAAAGACTTCTCTGCTTTTAATAAGATGGTTGCTAAGACTTCTTAAGATGGACTAAGACGGCTGTCGAGCTGATATCGTTTAAAAAAGTTCTGAAATATTGTCTAAAGAGCCAGTATCACAATCCATTTGTGCGAAAGAGCAACGCCGGGCGCATAATTTCATGGAGATTTACTCGCCGTGTCATCATCGCTCAGGGCTCACGCGGACTGTCTTCCCCTCGTCTTTTTTCCTGTCCAAATCAAAGCGCACGAGTTGACTCCGCGGAGATAAATGTGAAGGTAGCTGCAAGAAAATGAATGGATAGTGGGACAAATCCTGACAGAGCAGCGGTCAAACGCCATTAGTCACAGGTCTTAGCCCACAGGCTTAGGGATTCACCTCTTTTGGTGCATCTGACAGAAGAGAGCGTCTGTCCCAATAAAAGCCTCCAAGGAGAAATCCTTTTGTTCGCACTTTTTCTCGTTTTATAATATATTTTATCAGTAGGCGTTGGCCATTTTCCCCCTGCGGTTTAGCAGCAAAACTTGAAAGGTTGTGCTTTGCCATAGCACATTAAACCTTATCCACGTGTGGCGCAGCATGTTCTCTGACCCAGCTCCTCACACAATGAAATTCCTCTTTTTTATTATCTGTTACTCAATGGAAGAAAATGTGTGTGACCTGTGTAGCCTAATTCAGTCAACCGCAGTGACTGCTGACATTTTGCACCGCTCCCCCTAATCCACAAATTAGCCGGAATTGTCATGGTCCCAATTTAAGGCGGGTCCGCTCTCACAAGCAAACTGTTGGCGTCTCTTCATCGCTGCCTTTTCCCACCGAGCCAGTGTACTTAGTTACTGATTGGCAACAATGCTTTCAGCACCATGACCAATTGGTCAGCTCCCTCTGGGCAGCCACACCCGTCGTTGACTTAAGCATGCTGCTGATAGGCATTTACCAGTCATGGACTAATTCCCCTATTAGCTTCTATTCAGTGTTTCAATATTCTCACAAGACCACATAGAGTGTGGGGAGTCTTCACGGGACGTCCAAGCAAAAGTTTTGGTCTCATGTAGCAGCATGAAAATTGCGTAACATGGTGTAGTAGTCTTAATTAGGCTACTGTGTTCACTAGCACGAGTTGACTCCGCGGAGATAAATGTGAAGGTAGCTGCAAGAAAATGAATGGATAGTGGGACAAATCCTGACAGAGCAGCGGTCAAACGCCATTAGTCACAGGTCTTAGCCCACAGGCTTAGGGATTCACCTCTTTTGGTGCATCTGACAGAAGAGAGCGTCTGTCCCAATAAAAGCCTCCAAGGAGAAATCCTTTTGTTCGCACTTTTTCTCGTTTTATAATATATTTTATCAGTAGGCGTTGGCCATTTTCCCCCTGCGGTTTAGCAGCAAAACTTGAAAGGTTGTGCTTTGCCATAGCACATTAAACCTTATCCACGTGTGGCGCAGCATGTTCTCTGACCCAGCTCCTCACACAATGAAATTCCTCTTTTTTATTATCTGTTACTCAATGGAAGAAAATGTGTGTGACCTGTGTAGCCTAATTCAGTCAACCATGGAGGAAAGAAATGTTGTCTAGAATTGTTATTCCGGATCTATCTATCTATCTATCTATCTATGAGCAGAAAAGAGAGGTTGGCAACTACTACACTGAAAAAAATTGTATTTAGTAGTATTTTCTTATATGTAGTCCAATATTCTTTGTTTTATTTACAACTTCGAAAAAATCATTTTACAGTGTAGCTATCCTGCGTTAGCATTTTTATTAATTTATTTTACAAACACTGGACAGTATAGCCGTAAAATAGGCTATACCGTAAAATGTCTTCATCTGTAACCTTTTTGTCATTACTACACGAATTTTCAGAGAATTTTTCAGTGATAGTTGAAATTAAATTGGTTGAATAACGTTAGTAGCCTAATTAGGCCTAACTTAACAGGTTTTAACCCAGCACTATTGTTCTTCTAAGTTTGCAGTTAAAATGATTAGCCCCCCCTTTTCATTATATTGGTTATTTTTAGACCCTGGTTTTCCTTTAATTTATTATGTTTCAAAGATGTAATATATATAAAAAAAAATTGCGTTTCGTAGGCAAAGCAGAAAGTGTTTTTATTGCAATATAAGTAACGGCAAGACTATGATGATGATTAACTATAGCAGCCACACCCGTCGTTGACTTAAGCATGCTGCTGATAGGCATTTACCAGTCATGGACTAATTCCCCTATTAGCTTCTATTCAGTGTTTCAATATTCTCACAAGACCACATAGAGTGTGGGGAGTCTTCACGGGAAGTCCAAGCAAAAGTTTTGGTCTCATGTAGCAGCATGAAAATTGCTTAACAGGGTGTAGTAGTCTTAATTAGGCTACTGTGTTCACTAGTAGCAATATAAATGGATTATAAAAGTTTCTTAAAATTTACTCTAAACAGAGTAATGATTACGAAAACTATATTTGTATATTGGTTAAAGCTAAGTATACCTCAGATAAAACCAATAAAAGTGGGTCTATTTTGCGTTAAGCTTCATGTCCATCAATCCAATGAATGCGGGCTACAAACAGCCTTGTGGATCGTGCACTCATTCAGACCAACGATAATAGACTGATTCTTTTCACTGCGGTGTGAATACGTCAACAAAACAACTTGAGCAGTATGAATGGCTTTTCGTGTCCATTTAATGAAAATATTTGGGGGCAAACATAGTCCCCCGCCATCAGTATTCTCAAAATGTCCCTGGCATGCCGTTGTGTTTAGTTTTTAAGTGTAAATCTCTTTTGTGGCCGTAATATATGGCTTTCGTGGCCTGTCCTAAGCCTTTTTCAGTCAGTTCATTACTACACAATTACCGTCCACGCTTCATTAGCACCTCTATCTTTCACTGGAGCGCTCTGAATGACTGCTCGCCCTTGTTACCATACCAATGCTTTTGGGAACCAAGCAATGTGCTAATTAGCTTCCTCGTTCCATATCACTCAAACGGTTTAGTTTAAAAAAAAAACCATTAAAGCCCAACTTTCGTTCCAAGTCCAAAGACTACTTCCTGTTCTTAGAAAAGACTCGTATTCGCTTATTTTGAGAGAAACACTGTTTTTAAAAGAGTTTGTTTGGTTGTTTCCTATAGCATCGTCTTCAGCAGTGCCTATTCCCGGAACTTTCGCATGGCCACTCACGGCTCGAGGGAAGCCGAGGAGAGGAATGCTTCGACGGGCCGTCTTCTCTGACGTGCAGCGAAAAGCGTTGGAGAAGATGTTTCAGAAACAGAAGTACATCAGCAAACCAGACAGAAAGAAAATGGCGACGAAACTTGGCCTTAAAGACTCTCAGGTAAGCTGATGTTGTCCACAAACACTTTTTATATCGTACTTTTGTGGGTGTCTGAGGTAAACTGGTGTGCTCATGTCTTGCAAACTCTTTCTCGTCAGGTAAAAATTTGGTTCCAAAATCGAAGAATGAAATGGCGCAATTCCAAAGAAAGAGAGCTTCTTTCATCAGGAGGTTGCAGGGAACAAACATTGCCGACGAAAATGAACCCCAATCCTGACCTGAGCGACGTTGGCAAAACGTTTGAAACTGACGTGGCTCTGAGAGAAAGCCCGTGCGCGCCTTTCTGTCAGCCGCGCGGGGATCACGAGCTCAACGTAGATTTACATTTCACTTCGCCTTCTATCTCCAGCAAGCACTCAGACTTCTCAGAATCAGAGGACGAGGAAATAACCGTGTCATAATCATTAAGCAGATTGTGTAATTTCCAATGAATTATGTTTATGCACAAAACTGGAGAAAAACTCGTTAGTAGCCTAATTAGGCCTAACTTAACAGGTTTTAACCCAGCACTATTGTTCTTCTAAGTTTGCAGTTAAAATGATTAGCCCCCCCTTTTCATTATATTGGTTATTTTTAGAGCCTGGTTTTCCTTTAATTTATTATGTTTCAAAGATGTAATATATATAAAAAAAAATTGCGTTTCGTAGGCAAAGCAGAAAGTGTTTTTATTGCAATATAAGTAACGGCAAGACTATGATGATGATTAACTATAGACTCCAAGGGTTTTTTTCCCCCGTAAAAGTCCGTTTTCTGCGGTTTGCTTGTGGTGTCTAATCCAATCCGAATTTCTTCTGTCCAATCAGGACGCGCCGCCTCTAGAGTAAACGGAACTCACGTGGAGAATTTGGTTGAACTTCATTGTTAGAGCTGTCACCCATGAAAAGGCTTCTCCAGCGGTCCACTATAAAACCCCTGGAAAAGAGAGGGACGGGCAAGAACTCCTTCATTCTGCCCTCTTCAAACATAGTCCCCCGCCATCAGTATTCTCAAAATGTCCCTGGCATGCCGTTGTGTTTAGTTTTTAAGTGTAAATCTCTTTTGTGGCCGTAATATATGGCTTTCGTGGCCTGTCCTAAGCCTTTTTCAGTCAGTTCATTACTACACAATTACCGTCCACGCTTCATTAGCACCTCTATCTTTCACTGGAGCGCTCTGAATGACTGCTCGCCCTTGTTACCATACCAATGCTTTTGGGAACCAAGCAATGTGCTAATTAGTTTCCTCGATCGATAGCCTATCACTCAAACGGACTGGTTTAAAAAACATTAAAGCCCAACTTTCATTCCATGGCCAAAGACTATTTCCTGTTCTTAGAAAACACCCATAGCTTATTTTGAGAGAAACGTTGATTTTAATTACTTTGTTTGGTTGTTTCTCATAGCGTCGTCTTCAGCAGTGCCTATTCCCGGAACTTTCGCATGGCCACTCACGGCTCGAGGGAAGCCGAGGAGAGGAATGCTTCGACGGGCCGTCTTCTCTGACGTGCAGCGAAAAGCGTTGGAAAAGATGTTTCAGAAACAAAAGTACATCAGCAAACCAGACAGAAAGAAAACTATTGTTCTTCTAAGTTTGCAGTTAAAATGATTAGCCCCCCCTTTTCATTATATTGGTTATTTTTAGAGCCTGGTTTTCCTTTAATTTATTATGTTTCAAAGATGTAATATATATAAAAAAAAATTGCGTTTCGTAGGCAAAGCAGAAAGTGTTTTTATTGCAATATAAGTAACGGCAAGACTATGATGATGATTAACTATAGACTCCAAGGGTTTTTTTCCCCCGTAAAAGTCCGTTTTCTGCGGTTTGCTTGTGGTGTCTAATCCAATCCGAATTTCTTCTGTCCAATCAGGACGCGCCGCCTCTAGAGTAAACGGAACTCACGTGGAGAATTTGGTTGAACTTCATTGTTAGAGCTGTCACCCATGAAAAGGCTTCTCCAGCGGTCCACTATAAAACCCCTGGAAAAGAGAGGGACGGGCAAGAACTCCTTCATTCTGCCCTCTTGGACTCTAATCTACGAAGACTCTGCAGTGAGAGAGTAGCAGGACGTGAATTCCTCGCTGTCATTTTCAACAAAAAACGGTGCAATGATGTTGCCAAGTGTTATTGCGCCACCTGCTATGTATCCAAACTTTCTGCGGCCCTCGGCGGCTCTTTCCTGGTCTCCCACTTTACAGTCGGCGTTCACCACGCACTCGAGTTTCCTGGTGGAGGACCTGCTGCGCATCAGCAGACCTGCCACCTTCATGCACAGGAGCATCCCGTCTCCAAGCTCATCTCCTCCGGCCACAGGAGCCACAACTCTGAACAACTCCTCCGCAGTCCACGTCGCCATGTCTACATCTTTGCTAAAAAGATCAAGCTCTCCACAAACATCAATTTCAAACGATCCAAATTACTTGAAGTTTGGAGTGAATGCGATTCTCGCGTCAACAACACGAAACGGTAGGTTTCTCTTATGTTTATAAACTAGCAACTTTATACTGCTGATAAAGCATCAAAAAGAGTAACTGTCTAAAATATTTTGTTTAAAATACGCTCATTAAGAATTTAGTGACATTTATGTTGTAAACGCATGTCACATTCAACTTGTACGTTTCATTTAAAGTCCGCTTTATTTTGTGTCATAGCTTCTTCACCACCACCTTCAGTGCAAGGGATGAATGCGAAAACATTCCCGTTCCCATGTTTTGACGGCTCATTCCACCCATTCATCAGAGCATCATATTTCCCAGGTGGGTTCCTAAAAAAATCGCTGTGTCATTTCTTAATTCGGTCAAATTGATGGGCCTTCAGAATCTGCTTCCAATGCTGGAATTTGTAGGACATTGTGGAATCAGTCTCGCTAATTTGATGCCCTATTTAGCAAACGCAGTGACTGCTGACATTTTGCACCGCTTCCCCTAATCCACAAATTAGCCGGAATTGTCATGGTCCCAATTTAAGGCGGGTCCGCTCTCACAAGCAAACTGTTGGCGTCTCTTCATCGCTGCCTTTTCCCACCGAGCCAGTGTACTTAGTTACTGATTGGCAACAATGCTTTCAGCACCATGACCAATTGGTCAGCTCCCTCTGGGCAGCCACACCCGTCGTTGACTTAAGCATGCTGCTGATAGGCATTTACCAGTCATGGACTAATTCCCCTATTAGCTTCTATTCAGTGTTTCAATATTCTCACAAGACCACATAGAGTTTGGGGAGTCTTCACGGGACGTCCAAGCAAAAGTTTTGGTCTCATGTAGCAGCATGAAAATTGCTTAACAGGGTGTAGTAGTCTTAATTAGGCTACTGTGTTCACTA